AAGTTCAGGAGTATTGCCTTCCTTTTCATTTCTGATTTTAGTAATTTGGGTCTTCTCTTCTCAGCTTGGTGAGCCCTGTCAATTTTATTGGTCTTTTCAAAGGATCAACTTTTATTTTTGTTACTCTCTCTGTTGTTTTTATTGTATATTTCAGTGTGACTTGCCTTTTCCCCACAAGCTTTGGGTTCGATTTATCTTTCTTTTTGTAGGTTCTTAAGATGGAAGTTAGGGTACTGACTTGAGATAGTTCTTTCTTAATGTAGGCATTTGCCACTATAAATTTTCCTCTAAGCACTGCTTTCATTTCAGTCAGCAGTTTTGATATGTTGTGTTTTCATTTTCACTCACCTCCAAGTGTTTTCTAATTTTCCTTTTGTTTTCTTCTTTGACCCATTGGTTGTTTATGAGTATGTTGTATTTGTATATTTTCCAGTTTCCCTCCTGTTATTCATTTGTAGCTTCATTGCACTGTGGTCAGAGAAGATACAACTTCATGATTTGAATCCCTGAAAATTTTTTCAGATTTTATTTGTGCTCCAATATTTGTGCCCCAACGTTATCTATCCTGGTGAATGTTTTATGTGCACTTGTGAAGAAGGTGTATTCTGCTGTTGTTGGATAGAGTGTCATACATATGTCCCCTAGGTCGAGTTAGTTTATAGTGTTGTTCCAGTTCTTTCTTTCCTTATTGACCTGTCTGTGTAGATGGTCTATCCATTATTAAAAGTGAGGTATTGTTGACTCTAATTATTGTTTTATAACTGTCCATTTCTGCCTACCATCTGATCTATTTTGCATTATTATTTTTGGCTCTGTTATTAGGTGCATATAGCTTATAATTGTTATATCTTCTTAATGAATTGACCCTTTGATCAATATATAATCCTCTTCTTGTCTTGTGATTTTTTTTTTTTTTACTTAAAATTTGTCTTCGTCTATTTAGGCTTCTGTCAGGAAATAACTTAGACTGGGTAATTTGTGAACTACAGACATTTATTTCTCGCAGTTCTGGAGGCTGGGAAATCCAAGATCAAGGCTCCGGCAGATTTGCTGTCTGGTTAGGCCTTGTTTCTCATACACGGTGTCTTCTCTGTGTCTTTGTATGGTGGAAAAGCAGAAGGGAAAAAGAGACAAACGTTTTCCCTCAAGTCCTTTTGTAAGGACACTAACCCCATCCATGAGGGTGGAATCCTCATGCCCTGATCACCTCCTAAGGGCCCCACTTCTTACTACTGTTGCATTGAGGACTAAGTTTCAGCATGAAGTGTGGAGGGACACACGTGTTTAAGTCACAGCAAAGTCTATTGTGTCTGCTATTAGTATAGGCACTTACGCTCTCTTGGTTACTACTTGCATGGATATCTTTTAAAAACCTTTCACTTTTAATTTATTTGTGATTTTTCATCCAATTTGGGTTCACTGAAGAGACCACATTTTGGGCTATTTTTTAAAAATCCATTCTGCCACTTGCTGCCTTTTAATTAGAGAGTTTAATCCATTTACATTTTAAGTAATTACCGATAAGGAACTATTTATTTCTGTCATCTCGCTATTGTTTTCTATATGTCTTGTATTTACTTGTTCCTCACTTTGTCCATTACTGACTTCCCTTGTGTTTAATGGACTTTTGTAGTGAACCATTTAGATTCCCTTCTCTCTTCTCTCTCTCTCTCTCTCTTTTGGTGGTGGTGGTTATTTTTTCTTTTGTGTTTCCCAGGGAAGTTATACCTAACATCTTACATTTATAAAACTCTACTTTGAATTAAAACCAACTTAGTTTTAACAGTATACGAAACCTCTGCTCCTGTATAGTTACTGTCACAAATTACACTTTTATACATTGCATCCCATTGACATAGGTGTTTTTCTAAACTTTTTGTTTTTTTTGTTTTTTTGTTTTTGTCTTTGAAAAGACTCTATTCTTTGTTGCATGTGACCACTGAGGCCTCTATTCTGTTAGCGTAGTGATAAAACAGTGATTTGACAAAGATATCCTTAAACACCAGTATAAAAACAAACCAACCAAAAAAAATTCAACACTCTCTCAGTGTTTGCATATTAGTCATTTGTTGGGACACACCTTTAATGCTGAGGCAAACCATTTTCCACTGTGCATTGCATTCACCCCTTGCTTGCCCAGAGCCAAATTTGCTAAATTCTGTCTTCATTATATATTTTCCTGTTCTTCCCAGACACTAGAGTTCCAAAACGGTTGATTATGACAGTTTTACCAGCTTTATCATTGCTTCCCTGTTGTGGGGTATGTTCACGTAGGCTGAGAGTGAGAACAGGGTGCATCAGCCTGTGAGGGGACTGGGGAGCGAGGCCTTGGATGCCGCCCTGTTCCCTAGAGCTCCCACTGGTCGAGAGAAGCAGGGCTGCGAGGGGCACCTGCACCGCTGCTCACTTCCTGGTGGTGAAGCCGACATTTGGCCACTTCTCTCATTATTGGAGTGTGTCTGTGTCTCATACATTCCAGTGAACTGGCAGAGTTGATTTAGACAGGCTCACATTAAGGACAAGGCAGCAGTGTCTACAGGGTCTGGAAGCCACACTGACTGTCCCTCCCCCACCCCCCAGAGTTCCGGCTGGTCAATGGCAGCAGCAGCTGTGAGGGCCGCGTGGAGCTCCTGGTGCAGGGGACCTGGGCTCCCCTCTGCGCTGCCCACTGGGACTTAGCAGATGCCACCGTACTATGCCACCAGCTCAACTGTGGCAATGTGGTGGCCACACCCCAAGGAGGCCATTTTGGGGAAGGGGACGCTCCCGTCTGGCCGGAGGTGTTTCATTGTGTGGGGACAGAGTCCCATTTGTTGAACTGCCCAGCGAACACTCTGGGGGCCCCATCCTGTGCCCTGGGAAACGTGGCTGCCGCCGTCTGCTCAGGTGGGTGCAGCACATGCAGTGTGTGTGTGAGGGCGGTTGGGTGGACAGGAGGAGCTCGGGGCTGAGCAGTGGGCAGGACAGGAGGCTGTTCACGGTGGACAATGGGTAGGTCACATGGGAATGAAAAGATGGGTTAAGGGGGATGGTGGGATGGTGTAGGTAGAACGGGCAGGGAGGAAGGTCTGGGGAGGTCGAGTGGGGATTTTGGATAGAAGAGGAAGGAAGGACGGAGGAACATACAATGGAAGGGAAGGCAGCTGAGAGGGAAGAAGGGCAGGTGGACCGAGGGGTGGACAGGTCACTGTGTGGGGTCAGCATGGGCCCCAGCACCTCCTTGACCCCGCAGGCTCCTGCTCTCCCTCCCCAGGTCTCCCCCACGCGCTGCGGCTGAGGGACGGACAGAGCCGCTGTGACGGCCGTGTGGAGGTCTCCCTGGCCGGTGTGTGGGGCCGCGTCCTGGACGACGGCTGGGACCTGCGAGACGCCGGGGTGGTGTGCCGGCAGCTCGGGTGCGGACAGGCTGAGCGAGCCTACGATGCGCCTGCCCCCGGCCGCGGGGCCGTCCCGGTGGGTCTGAGCCACGTGCGCTGTCTGGGCATCGAGACCCATCTGACCCAGTGCAACGTGTCCGCATTCCCGCTGGTGCCCGCGGGGACTTCGTGGGACGCGGGTGTCGTGTGCTCTGGTGAGTGTGGAACCCCTTCCGTCCGCCTCCTCAACCCGTCCCCACGTAGCCACAGGGCGCCCTGATCATTCTCTCCGCAGGGAGCCGCGGGGTGCGGCTGGCCGCGGGGCCTGGCCGCTGTGCGGGGCGTGTGGAGCTGCTCCACGGGGGCGCGTGGGGCACCGTGTGTGACGACGCCTGGGACCTGCTGGACGCGCACGTGGTCTGCAGGCAGCTGGGCTGTGGCCGTGCGCTCAGTGCCCCGGGGGATGCCCACTTCGGGGCCGGTGCAGGGCGCATCTGGTTGGACGAGCTGGGCTGCCGGGGCAACGAGTCTGCGCTGTGGCAGTGCCCATCCGGGGGCTGGGGCCGGCACGACTGCGGGCACAAGGAGGACGCCGGGGTCTTCTGCTCAGGTCGGTGCAGCCCGCCCCCCCTGTGGGTCGCACCCACCGACTGATGCTGGGTCTCGCTGACCGGCCTCTCTGTGTGCAGAGTTCACGGATCTGAGGCTGCAGAACCACAGCCGGCCATGCGCAGGGCGCCTGGAAGTTTTCTACAACGGGACGTGGGGAGGCGTCTGCCAGACTCTGAGCCCTGCCTCCCTGGGGATCCTGTGTGGGCAGCTGGGCTGTGGTTCCCGGGGGCAGCTGCAGCCCAGGGCAGCGAGCCGGCCTCCCCCTGGGGCTCTCTGGTTGGCCTCCATTCAGTGCAGGGAGAGGCATGACAGGTCCCTGTGGCAGTGCCCGTCAGACCCCTGGAACCAGCAGTCCTGCTCCAGTGGGGAGGAAGCCTGGATCGTGTGCGCAGGTGAGCAGGTGGGGCTGGGGGCGGGAGGGGGTTCTGCTCGGCCCTTTACCCCAGGGGTGAAGCGTCAGTCTTCACTTGGTCTTACAAGTCTGTGTTGTGCTGGGTCAGTAAAGGGGCAGCATCCGTGTCCTGAGGCTCTGGGCTGTATGAGGCGTCTGGAGTCTTCTCAGACCCCTGGTTCTCCCCCAGTGGGGGAGGCAGGAGCACTGGGCTCCGGGGGCATCTTCTGAGATCGTTCCACAGGGACAGGGCCACCGTGGATAAGCCCCAAGCTTTTCCAGGTTATGGAATCCCTCAGCCCACGTGGGTATCTTTTGCTTACACATAGAAAGTTCTTTTTTAGCAAGGAGATGATATTCCTGTGTTGGGGAGACAGAAAGAAATGGAAAAGAAAAATAATTGACGGAATTCTAAGCTGCTGAGCTTGCAGCTACTGAGATGGGTTCTCATTTCCTACCCAGAAAAGGCAGGAGAAGCTCCCGAGGCCCCCGGGCAGACCCTCAACTGCTCGTCCACGCTGAGCTGCCCAGGTACCCCCCGTCCGTCTCTCTGTCCTTCTACCCCCGTCCTGGCCCCGGCCCCGCGGTGACCACAACCCCCTTTCCAGGGGAGGGCGCGGTGCGCCTGCGCGGGGGCGCGGACGGCTGCTCCGGGCGCGTGGAGCTGTGGCACGCGGGCTCCTGGGGCACCGTGTGTGACGATTCCTGGGACCTGGCGGATGCGGAGGTCGTGTGCCGCCAACTGGGCTGTGGCCGGGCCGTGGGCGCCCTGGGGAAGGCCGCCTTTGGCCCCGGCTCAGGGCCCGTGTGGCTGGATGAGGTGGGGTGCCGGGGCAGCGAGGCGTCCCTGTGGGGCTGCCCGGCCGAGCCGTGGGGACGCGGGGACTGCGCGCACAAGGAGGACGCGGGCGTGCGCTGTGCTGGTGAGTGGGCGGGGACGGCAGGGCGGGGCATGGAAGTCAGCAGAGGGGACCCGGCTGGGCTGGGCGGGGCAACAGGCTTCGTGTTTCTGCGAGTGAGTTTCCACCTTTTGCTTCGTCCGCTGTGAACTGCTTTGTTGTGGAGCAGTGTTTGGGGACGCACCCTCTCAGGAGTCCTGGGGTTTGATTGGGGACTTCTGTTGTCTTTACCTCTAACCCATGTTTACTCTGGGAGTCTGGGGTCACCTGGTGCTGGCAGCTGTTGTCCTGGACACTGACTCCCAAACGCTTTGCCTCATTGTCTTGGCAGAGAACAGACAGATCACGGTAGCAGTGTCAGCAAAAGTCGCAGCCGTGGGTAACTTTTCCTGAGCACACATCTGAGTAGCTCTCTGTGCCCTTAAGTCACTTAGTGAGACCTGCCCAGGAACCTCTGTTGTGTGGCCACACTAGCCACTCTTTTACAAGGAGGTGGGAGTGCCCCATGAGGGGAGACACCTCCACACTCCTCCCCTTCCTGCCTCCAGAGGACACCAGCCCGGCCCGGGGGCACTGCCCAGCTGGAGTCAGCAGATGCCTCCCCGCCCCCTCCGCACACACTTCCCTTGAGGTCGAGGGTGAGGGTGGGTGAGGGTGAGGCTGGGTGAGGGCCCTCGGGAGCCGCCCGCTCCTGCTGAGGGGTGTGCAGGCCCCTCTCCACCACCCAGGTAGCTCACGACGTCGCCCTCATTAGAGCCTGGACCGGGCCCCCCACCGGCGACAGAGGCCCATTTGATGCTGTGTGCCATCAGTACTGTCCTGGGAACCCTTCTTGGTCTCCTCCTTCTGGGCCTCATGGCCTCTCTGATCCTGCCTCGAGCCACACAAGCCAAGCAGAGGGGTACGCACGTACCTATCCTGGTCCCGATCGCCAGTGTGGTAAAAACAAGAGCAGCACATGGCTCCAAATTGGAGCCGGGGCCCATGCAGGTGAGGTTTCACATGAAGTGGCCCTTTATTGGCCAAAGAGAGTGACTTAGACACTTGAAAAGGCCACAGGCCCCTGGGACTTGGAGCTGAACCCTAGAAGGTCCCCCCTGGACACCACATTGGGGCCATTGGGCATTAGCACATGATTTACCAATGAAGGATACTGCCAGGGGTAGGAGGGCACTGAGGGGCCTGGTCACATCACTTTGGTTTCCTCTGCCTTTCTGCTGCCTGAGTGGGGTCCCCGCCTGGGGGAGCTATGCTCCCCTGCCCATGGCTGTGTTGCTTATGGGGTCCTGCCTATGACCACACTCACCTTGCCTCAGGTCCAGGACAGTCCAAGGCATCTCCTGGAGAAGCCATCTATGACGTCACTGGGGAAATGCCACTGGCATGCTGTATGAGGAAATTGTGCAGGCCGAGGAGGATCCCCAGGGTGAGGGGGATGGCAAGTGGGGAAGGTGCTCGCTGCTCGCAGTTGAGCCCCGAGGTGGGGCTCTGAGTGCTGACCACAAGACGCAATGAAAAAGGGAGTCCAGAAATGGCTTCTGGCCACAGTGCTGATGGACCCCAGGGGGACACATGGGCAGGGACCAATGAGGGCAAAGCCAGTAGCTGGAGTCCTGGTCAGAGAGGGGCCTGCCCCCTGGTGGGAGAAGAAGCCAGGTGAGGTGATCTGGGTGTATCAGGCTCTACTGATGGTGTCACAGCCCACCCAGCCTCAGTTTCCTCACCTGTAGTGTGAGCATGATAAACCTAACTGTGCTGCTGTCACGGGATGCTTGAGGAGCCCAGTGTCAAGATGCCTTAAACATTGTCAGGTGCTTTTGGGTGATATTTCTATGCATCCCCAAAAGAGGGCCATTTTACAAGCCACACCATCCTTGGCTTGCCATAGTGGCTTTTGGGACAATTTGTACATTGTGCCAGTGGTAATGGAGGGGTCTCTTGTGCCACTTTCAGAGGGGGTGTCTAACTTCGTGGATGGACAGTCTGCACCTGAAGAGGAAGGAGGCAGCGGATCGCTTTCTCAGGGTTATGATGAGGCTGCGTTTCCGCCGGAGGAGATGACACTGTAAAGCACCCTGAAGATGCTGCACATGGCTGGTCGTGTCATGATCACAGTTCTTTATTTTCTTTTGCAATTGTATTAATCTCAAGAGATGACATTCATGCATTCCTCTTGGTGCAGTGTCTTCAAGCCACCCAGATAAAACCCACGTCCTCCTGGTCCTGTCTGGCTCCTCATCCGTGTCCCCTCCAAGGGGTGTTCACTGTTGACAGTTATGCTGCATAACCTTTGGGTTTCCCGTGCATCCACAGCAAATCCAAATACAAACACAGTAATCCATAGCTGCATTTTGTGGTTTTTTAAAAACACATGGTACCATCTTCATAGACTATTCTGTAACTTTGGAGAGCTCTCCATGTCAGAAGGCAGACGTCTACCTTCCTTTTCTTTCTTGAAAACTCTTCTTAATTGAATCCGAATTATCTTTTAGATTTTCTACATGTGTAATGATGTCAACTGTGAGTAATGTCAGATTTATCTTCTTTCCAATCTGTGTACCTTTAATCTTTTTTTCTGTGTCCTATTTCGTGGGCCAGGACCTCAGACCAAAGCTGAATAGAAGCAGACAGCCAACACCCTGTCTCATACACAACCTCAGGGCTGCAGTGCTCCATAGTTAATTTCAGTATTAAATACAATATTTGATGTTATATTTTGTAGATGCCATTGATCAAATTAAGGAAAATGCAATCTATTCCTAATTTGCTAAGAGTTTTGCTTTTTATTATAATTAAGTGTCAATTTTAATATCAAATGCTTTTTCTGTGTCTGTTAATATATGATTTTTCTCTCCTTTTTGGTTAATGTGATCAACTTTGTTGATAGATTTTCAAAAAAAAAAAAAACCCTAATCAATTTTGTGTTAAACAAATTCAACCTTATCACGATCTATTATTCTTTTTATATACCACAGAAATCAATTTGGTAATATGTTGGGCCAATGTTTAAAAGAGAGATTGATGTATAATGTCTGTATTTTTTGTGCAATGTTTCTGTTTAATTTTTTGATATGAGGATTATTCAGGTCTCAAAGAGTTAGGACATATTCTCTCTTTAAAAAAATATCTGTAAGTGCTTATGTAGCATTGGTTTTATTTTTCCTTAAATAAAAAATTCACTAAGAACAATTCATTAGGAAGAAATCATTAGTAAGCCATCCAGACTGGAGTTTTCCTTTTCAAAAGGTTTGTTTTTCAGATTTAAATAAATAATTGAAGTTTTGAGGTTTTATATTTCTTATTAGATCTGCTTTAAGTTTGTTTTTTAATACATTGGTACATTTAATCTAAATTTTCAAATTTGTTGGTCTAAATTGGTTAATATTTTTGTTATATGTTTAATGTCTACAAAGTCCATAGTTATGTGCATTTTCCAATCCCAGTATTGGCAATTTGTGTCTTCTTTCTTTTGTTCTTGATCAGTGTAGCTATACGGTTATTCATCTTATTAGTCTTCAAGGGCATATGAAACGTGGCTGTTGTTTTCTTGATTTTTCTTAGTGAACATCTGCTTTCTGTTTCGTTGATTTCTGCTCTTATCTTTATAATTTCTTTCATTCTACTTATTTTAGCTTTTTTTTTTTTTTTGTCTTTTTTCCGTGTCCGGCAACGGATCGCAACCCTCAGTGTTGCCCCCGTACCGGACCAGGGACCGGCAACGGGATCGCAAGCCTCGGCGCCGCTCCCGCGCCTCGCTCAGCCAGTGAGCGGGAGCCGGTCTGTATGTGGGATCCGAACCCTCAGACGGGAGCGCCGCCGCGCTTCCCAAGTGGCACACTATCCAGTGCGCCACCGGGCCGGCCCTTATTTTAGCTTTTTGATATGGACATTTAGATTATTTAGTTTCAGCATTTCTTATTTTTTAATGTACACATTTAAGGTTATAACTTTCCCTTTTGTGGAATATACTATAAAGCATATGTACCTCACAGGGCCTGCTTTTCCAAAGCCTTGCAGTTTCAAGTATTGACCTTGTGGAGGACTGGAAATTTTCCCCAGGCTATAGTCTCTGTTGCAAGATAAGATTTGTGGCACAGCAGGCTGCTGGCTCAAAGACAGATGAGTTACTGATTGATATGTAAAGATACTGGGAAATTGCTATATGAAGGAATGTTTGTTAAGATCAAGCTTGTGTTGATAGGACCACTTAATTGTCTACTGGAATGTCATCTGGCTTGTTTCACTGAAAGTTACCAGCCAATACTGTTAAACTATAACTCCACCTATGTCTCTTCCTGCAACTTCCTGGTCTGGAAAATAAATGCAGGAAGAGAACCCCAACTCGGGGTTAATTTCCCAAGGAAGGGATGCCTCTCCCTGGAGGGTCCCTAAGAGAGATTAACCACTTCGGGGCCTCTCACTGCTCAGAAGAGATGGGCTTTGAGTAATCCTTTGCATCTCCATCACCCAAGGGAAGTGGGGTGACAAATCTGTGGGAGGCAAAGCAACACAAAGCAACACCCTTTTACATGGCTTTAGCTGTATTTCAAGAGTGATAATATGTTGTGATTTTGTTTTACTTTTAATAGGTCCTTTGAGTTATAACTAGTAAACTTCACATATTAAAGTATGCTTTATGATAGGTTTTTTTTTTTTTTTTTTTTTGATCTTTTTAGTGACCAGTAAGGGGATCATAACCCTTGGCTTGGTGTCACCCGCACCACACTCAGCCAGTGAGCACACCAGCCACCCCTGTATAGGATCCGAACCCGCGGTGGGAACGCCACTGTGCTCCCAGTGCCGCACTCTCCCTAGTGAGCCATGGGGTCAGCCCTTATGATAGGTTTTGATGTGCATATACATCCATGAAAGAATCACAGTAATGGGTGTATCTATCACCCACCAAAATTTCTTCGTGTTCCTCTGTCTGTCTCTCCTGTCCCTCCCTGTACCCAGTCCCCACAGGTATTCACTGTTTGGCTTTCTGACATTGTAAATTCGTTTGCATCTTTTGAATTTTATGTAAATGGAATTATAAACTATGTATTCTTTTGGGGGGGTAGGAACCTGGCTTTTTTCCACTAAGCATGAGTGTTTGAAATTCATCTATGTTTTGTGAGACTGTAGTTCATAGTATTCCATTACGTTGTTTATCCACTCATTTGTTGATGGACATTTGCATTGTTTAAAGTTTTGGGCTATTATAAACAAAGCTGCTGTAAAATTCATGTACAAGTCATTGTATGGACATATGCTTTCTTTTCTCTTGGATATCTAGGAGTGAAGTAACTGGATCATATGGTGGGCACATGTTTGACATTCTGAGACACTGCCAGACTTTTCCCAGTGGCTGCAACGTGTTATAGTCCCACCAGCAGCATATGAGAGTCCCTCCAAAAATTCATCAACACTTGGTCGATCATTCTTTTTAATTTTAGACATTCTAACAGGTGTATAGTGGTGTGTCCTTCTGGCTATAGTTTTCATTTGCCTAATTATTAATAATGTTGAGCATCTTTTCATGTGCTTATTTGCCATCTGTATATATACTTTGTTGAAGTGCCTGTTCAAAATTTTTGCCCATATTGTATTGGGTTGTTTGAGTTTTGAGAATTTTTAAATCTATTCTGGGTGTAAGTCTTTGCAAATATTTTCTCCCAGTCTTTTCACCCCCTTAATAGTGTCTTTCAAAGATCAGAAATTTTGGGGCCGGCCCGGTGGTGCACTGGAGAGTGCACTGCTTGGGAGCATGGTGGCGCTCCTGCCGAGGGTTCGGATCCCATGTGGAGACCGGTTCCCGCTCACTGGCTGAGCGTGGTGCGGGCGCAACACCGAGAGTTGCGATCTCATTGCTGGTCCCCGGTACGGGCGCGACACCGAGGGTTGCGATCCCGTTACTGGTCAGTAAAAAAGACAAAAAGGGAAAAAAAAAAAAAAAAGATCAGAAATTTTTAATTTTTATGAGGTGCAGCTTGTCAGTGTTTTTCATTTATAGATCATGCTTCTGGTGGCATATTTAAGAAAACTTTGCCTAACCTGAGGCTGCAATTTCTTCTGTTTTCTTCTAGAATTTTATAACTTTATGTGTTACTTTTAGGTATAGGATCCATTTTGAGCTAATTTTTGCATGTGGTGCAAGGGTTAGATTGAAGTTCGTTTTTTTGCATATGCTTATTCAATGGATCCAACAGTCTTTGTTGAAAAAACTGTACATTTTTTTTCCTTTTTGTCTTTTTTTGTGACCGGTAATGGGATTGCAACCCTCAGTGTCGCGCCCATACCACAACTGGCAATGGGATCGCAACCCTCGGTGTCGCGCCTGCACCACGCTCAACCAGTGAGAGGACTGGTCTCTATATGGGATCCAAACCCTCGGCGGGAGCGCCGCCACACTCCCAAGCACTGCACTCAACCGAGTGCGCCACCGGGCTGGCCCAAAACTGTACATTTTCTGAATTGCCTTTGAACCTTTGTCAAAATGAGTTAATATATGTGTGGATCTATTTCTGAACTTTGTACCCTATTTCACTGATCTGTTTGTCTGTCTTTATGCCAGTCCCACGTTGTCCTGATAACTGTAGTCATATAAAAAGACTTGAAGTCAGATAATGTTAGTTCTCCAAATTTGTTGTTCTTTTTCAAAGTTATTTTGAATATTCTAGGCCTTTTGCTTTCCATATAAACTTCACTTGTTAATTTCTAAGAGAAGCCTGCTTGGATTTTGATTGAGATTACATTGACTCCATAGGCCGATTTTGGGAGGATTGACACTTTAACAACATTGGGTCTTTCAGCCAAGTAGCATGGTGTGTCTCTTTATGTCTCTCAGCAGTGTTTTGTGTTTTTGAGTGTGCAGGTCTCGTACATCTTTGTAAGATGTACATCTATTTAACACTTTTTGTGGCCACTGTAAATGGTACTTAAAATACATTTTTCAATTTCTAACTTCTTGCTGCTAGTCTATCAATTTCTGATTGATAGAAATAGAATTGCTTTTTGTATATTGATTGATCTTGTATCCTGCAACCTTGCTAAACTCACTTACTAGTGCCATAGTTTTCCTGTAAAT